CTTACAAAGAGCGTTGGGTGGGCTTTCTTTCGGCGGGCGCTTCGGGGCACGAGCAGGAACAAAGGGCAGGCAAACAAGCTGGTGGCTGCTTGACCGAGACCGCCAAGGGTCGGGTTCCTGTAGCAGTGGGACGGCGGAGAACAATGAAAGGCCACATCCACAGGCACTTCTGCGGCGGGGTGCTCCCTGGCCTCCCAGTTAGAATGCAGACTCCTGGGCCTGCTGCAGGCCCCTGCACCAGCATCTGCATTTTGACAGCTCCTCCGGTGAATCCCACGCACAGTAAAGTCTGAGAAACTCTATCCAGAGTGGCCATTCTCAAAGGGAGGTTCAGGGTCCATAAGACTCTTAAGGAATCTGTGAGGTCACAACTATTGTCATAATACTCTTAAGGTTTTGGGGGCCTATTTCAACTCATTTTCCCATGAGGGGAGTTTTCCAGAGGCTACCTGATAATATGGTGCTGCAAAAAATTTAATGTAAAAGCACATATGAGAATACAGCTGTTTTTCTATTAAGCCTTCTATATAGTTAATGACATCTGTTTAAAAAAGGTAAGACAAGTCTGGCCGGTGTGACTCATTGGATTGAGCGTTGTCCCATGGACTGAGAGGTCCTGGTTTGATTCCCGGTCAGGGCGCATGCCCGGGTTGTGGGCTCCATCCCCGATGGGGGCGTGCAGGAGGCAGCCATTGATGTTTCTCTTGCACATCGATGTTTCTCTCTCTCTCTCCCTTCCTCTCTCTAAAAAAATCAATAAAAACATATTTTTAAAAAAGTAAAACAATGTTACTCTTATTAATATTATTTTTAGTTTTAGAAAATATAGTTACATTTTTCATAAATACATGCTACTTGTGTTAAGATGCAATGGGCTTATTAGGTTTTTAAAAATAATATTTTTTTATTGATTTGAGAGAGAGAGAGAGGAAGGAAGAGGGAGGGAGAGAAACATTCAATTGGCTGCCTCCCGCACACTCCCTACTGGGGATCAAGCCTGCAGCTCAGGTCTGTGCCCTGACCAGGAGTCAAACTGGTGATGTCTTGGCGCTTCAGACAGTGCTCAACCAACCGAGCCACACGGGCCAGGGAGGGTTTATTAGTTTTTAAATGAGTTAATAAATGAACATTTTGTAAGTTTCTCAGTGTTAATTTCCAAATTGGTAAATATTCATAGATATAACCCACGTAAGCAAGCACTCTTTGGGATTCGCAATCATTTTTATGAGTGTAAAGAGGACCTGAGAGCAAAATGTTAGAGAACTACTGGCCTAGAATATGCTTCTCCTTTAGGATTCTAGTTCTGTCCTTCAAGAGAAGAATCGTAAGCTGAAAATCACAGTAGCAGAGGCCTGAGGTCAGGGCCCAGAAATATCCAAGGGCAGGGAAGCCGCAGGTCTGGTGCCGCCTTTGGGTGAATCCCGAGGTGCAAGCAACCAACTGGATGCATGTGCGCTTAGGGTTGGGGTCACCAACACTGTCCTGGGAATTCACCCTCAGAGGACAGTGGGTCAGAAGGACCCACCAGAGCTAGACCTGGGGTCTGATGGCAGGTCGTCTCTTCCCTTCTCTGGGCCTCCGTCCACTGGGCTGTAAAATAGATGATACAGCTTCCCTCCACCCTTGGGCGAAGTCTTAGGGTAACTAATAAAAGACTGTGAAGCTCTAACTCATCTCCACATCACCTCATACTCAGAATAATAACCACGGTAATATAGACGATCAGAATTCAAACTCTGGGAGGGAGGTGCTTGCCCAGCCAGAAGGCCAGTAGCGTTTCTACCATTGTCAGCAAACCTCGTCCCTGCCCACTGTCTGCAGGCCAGAAGCTGTGGGGCGAGCCAGCAGGTCAGAGGTGGCCTCACCCCATTCTCAGTGTCCAGGAGTTGCCCTGTTCATCCATCTACCAAACAACATCAGGACCTAGAAGCTGCCATGAAGCTACAAAGCATTCAGAGCATTGTATTCTTGCTTTGGGTGTTCACGATCCACTCATCTATTTGTACATTTATTCTTCATTCATTCACTTCTTCCAAAACTCATTGTAACAAATATTTCCTCGTGTCCACTAAAGGATACATCACTGTGAAACTTATGGAGACATCAGTAGTTGTAGCACTTTTTCTATCAATGTCTAGATATTGTTGGGGAGCAAAATTTGCCACCCCAAAATGTGCCGCTTTGGCATGTTGATTATTTTGAATTAAAGTTACTTGAGAAACAACCCATGCAAGAACCCTTTGACCTTCCTGTCTCCCTGAAAGCAAGAAATAAGTCTCCTCTGTGAAAGGTACCCTCCCTGCACCAGGAGGTGAAGAACACCTTTATCGCCAGAGATGGGAAATTCAGGGCCCAGAAGGCTGTGCAAACAAACTCTACTTAGTTTCTTCACTGAATAGTACCCAAGCCTAAGTTCCTGTGTCTTGTAGGTTCTTCACAAATTCATTTTGCTTGTTTGTTTAAAAGAATAAAAGCTGCCTGCTTCGGTGACTTCTTTAGGTCCCATATCTATAAGACCTCCACATGTATGAAATTAAACTTGATTTTCTCCTGTTAATCAGCCTTGTGTCAATTTAATTCTTAAACCAGTCAGAAGAACCTTGAAGGGGAGAAAGAAAAATTTTTCCTCCCTGACAATATTAACCAATTCTAGATCTTCCCCTTGGTTTATATTGGTTCACTCATTCTGTGGGGATTGTGTTTTTGAAGTATTTTTAGCTATATTTCCTGTAAATTATGCTGTCCTGGGACTGCCCACCCACTAAAGCCAAGGATTTCGGTGTTTCTAAAGGAATGAGACCTAATCACAAGATTATGAAATGTTTCTCCTTGCCCTAAGCCTTACCACCATATCGCAAAGGCCTATTTATTAGAGCTCCTTTTACCCAGCCCAGCTTTCAACTAAAAATTAAAAGACATGCTAAAAGGCAAAATCACGATTTGATGAGACAGAGAAAACATCAGAACCAGACTCAGAGATAGCAGGAATGTTGGGATTAGCAGACTGGGAATCTAAAATAACTATGATTAAAATGCTAAGCGCTCTAATGGAAAAGGTAGACAATATGCGAAAACAGATAGGTAATGTGAACAAAGGGATGGAAACACCAAGAATGAATAAAACAGAAACGGCAGATATACTGTTCCAGAAATGAAGAGTGGCTTAGTAGTACACTGAGCATGGCTAAGAGAAGAATCAGTGAGCTTGAGGCCATGTCAATAGACACCTCTGGGCAGAGGGAAAAGTGGCAAATAACTAGCAGATCTGAGAAAAACTATTTGCAATCTGGCAACGGAGGAAACCAAACAGCGATGAAACCAACTCAGTAGTCATTGCTGAGTCCCCCAAAAGGCTCCAGACTGACAGCCCCAGACACCTCTGTAATTGAAGATTGGGGTAGCGGGGCTTACAGTAATAAAAAAGAATTGGTTGAGAGTCTGCTTATGAAGGAGCCTGTCTCAGGCCACTTTCTCACTATGAGCTGAATGACTCGTTTCTCCAGCCCAATAAAGGCGGAAGCTTTATTCTTTGGAGAGACTACAACAAAGACTAAAAGCACAAGCATGCACAGTGAGGGCTGGGGTACAGCCCAAGGGGATTGTCCATGCTGGGTGTAGAGATGCTGGCCCAACCCACCTCTACCTCCTTCTCTTAATTCCCACATATGATGTTGGCAGCCCGGAGGACACACCTCTTAGAGTCTGACCAGCACAAAATGGAAGAACTTAAGATTTTCCCCAGAAAAACAGCCCCAAGGTCACCCCACCATCATACTCTCAGTCCATAGCCTTCCCTGTGCTCTGGGAGCTGCCAAACGGAGCTTTAGTCCCCGATCTTACATATGAACGGACAAGAGTTACCAGGTATCTGAAGACAACTTCTAACATGAAAGAGAAGGAAAAATAAACATACTAAAACAAGACTCTTGGAGGAAATAACCTATTCGAGCAGAAACATTTTAGGAAAATAAACTATTCTGGTATCGTCAGAAATGTGAAAAGATATTACAAGCTGGAAAAACCCCAGGGTATAATATTTTTTAAAAATTATAAACAAACAGACAGAAGCTCTAGGAAACTACACACATAATAGCAGAAATGAAAACTTTGAATATGAGTTTTGGAAAATAAAGTTGAAAGTATTGTTCAGCTAGTAGTATAAAAAGAAAAACAAGAAAGAACACACAAGACACAATGGAGTACTATGCAGCTGTGAGAAAGAAAGATCTCTTATCCTTTGAGACGGCATGGAAGGACCTGGAGAGTATTATGCTAAGCGAAACAAGCCAAGCAGAGAAAGACAAATATCACGTGATCTCCCTTATTTGTGGAATATAATGAACTAAACAAACTGCTGAACAAAATTAACCCAGAGACATAGAGGTGAGGTACAGACTGACAAGCCTCAGAGGAGAGGGGTGTTGGGGGAGGAAAAGATAAACCACAGAACTTACATGCATGTGTGCATGACCAATGAACATAGACAACAAAGCTGGGGATGGGGCAGGGGGGAAAGGGAGGAGGGTGTCAATGGGGAGAAAATGAGAAACATCTGTAACAAAAACAAATTAATAAATAAAAAATAAATTAATTAAAAAAAAAGAAAAACATTAAAAAACCCCCTCAAAACACACACACACACACACACACACACACACACACACACACACGATGAGAAACTTGTTGGCCAGTTCATAAGGTCCAATATCTGATCAATAGAATTTTCAGACAGAGATAGAGTTAGAGACAGAGAGCGATAAATTGTCAATGAAATATTTTAAGAAGAAATTTCAGAATCAAAGGACATAACTTTCCAGGGTGAAAAGACCCACTGACGCCAAGTAGAATGGATAATGGAGAAATAGGAACATTCAGCAAGTCTTGTGAAAACACCTAACACTAGAGACAAGGAGAACGTCTTACAAGGTTCCCGAGGAAAGCACTGGATGACACCCAAAGAACTGGGAATGAAAGTGGCTTCAATTTTTTTTTTCTTTTTCTTTTTGTGCACTGTTCCCGGAGGTACTGCAATGCTGGGTCGATGCATGGAGTGGACAGAGCGAGCTCCTACTCCATCTCCCTGCTCCAAAAATCCATGTAATATATTGTCCTCGGATAAAGAACATATAGGATATTAAACTCATAAAAACAGATACTACCCTTGATCTTAGCCAAAAGGCCAAGAAGCGATTTTATTTTATTATTTTTAAAAATTTTTTATCCTCATCTGAGGACATTTTTCCTTTTTTTTTTTTATCCTCACCCGAGGATATTTTTCCATTTTTTGTACAGATAGAGTGGGAGGGAGAGAGAGGAAGGGAGAGAGAGAGAGAAACATCGACGTGAAGGGACACATCGAGTGGCTGCCACCCGCACGACCAACCAGGGCCGGGGACAAACTGCAACCGAAGTACGTGCCCTTAGCGGGAACCGAACCCGGGTCTCTCCGGACCGCAGGCCGACGCTCTAACCGCTGAGCCAAACTGGCCAGGGCTTGCTTGCTTTTTTTTTTTTTTTTTTTTTTTTTCAGATGGAGTGGGAGGGAGAGAGAGAGAGAAACATAGACATGAAAGGGACACATCGAATGGCTACCACCCGCACAACCCAACCAGGGCTGGGGACAAACTGCAACTGAGGTACATGCCCTTAGTGGGATCTAAACTCGGTCTCTCGGGACCGCAGGCCGAAGCTCTAACCGTTGAGCCAAACCAGCCAGGGTGCGATTTGATTTTAACAATAAACCTAGAATGTCACATCCCAAACTTTAACAAATGTCCCCAAATTTTTATTTTAATTGAGATAAAGTTCACATAACGTAAAGTTTATTATTTAAACCATTTAAAGGATATAATTCAGTGACATTTAGTACATTCACAATGTTGTGCAACTGCCCCAAAACATTTCTGTCACATTGTAGCATGTATCAGTACTTCATTCCTTTTTATGTCCAAATAATATTCCATTGTGCGGATATGCCATATTTTGTTTATCTATTTGTCATCTGATGGACATTGGGTTGCTTCCACTTTTTGGCTGTTGTAAATATTACTGATCTTAACATTCATGTACATGATTTTGTTTGAACCAAAGCCTTTTTTTCTTAAATGTTTTTTTCTTTTATTGATTTTAGAGAGAGAGGGAGAAACAGGAACATCGACGAGAGAGAGCATTGACTGGCCGCGTCCTGCATGGCCCACACTGGGGATCGGGCCCCCAACCTGGGCATGTGTCCTGACTGGGAATTGAACTGGGAACATTTTGGTGCATGGGTTGACCCTCAACCACTGAGCCACACTGGCCAGGCTGAACCAAAGTCTTTAAATCTAGTCATTCAGTTCTAAAAAAATAATAATCCCAGAATGTAGAAAATTCCGAGGGAAAATCATTTCCAGTTTAGAATTCTCTACCTAGCCAAACTATAAGCCAAGTTGGAGGGTAAAATAAAGATATTTGTTTCCCTCCAGCAACCCTTACTGGGGAAGATCCCACGACGTAGAAGAAGGACTAAGCCAGGTAAGGAGAAAATATATTTGATACAGGAAGCAAGAGCTCCAACATCGAAAAAAAGCAAACTCCAGAATGAGTCAAAGGGACACCCCAGGAGGCCAGCTGGGCACTGGGCATAAAAAGCAACTAGTTCAGGGGTCAGAAGGCTCTGAGGGAAACCCCTTCAGCATGTTAGAGTTGACAGAACACCTAGTGTGTCTGAAAGTTTTGAGAGACTCGTTCAGCATTGGCAAAGTGTTTGGTTTCCGAAAGAGGATTAAGTATGTGGAAAATGAAGCCAATGCAAAGCCTAGCTTTTACATTATTCATGCCAGGGAAACAAAATGTTGTGCAGGAAAGGAAAGAAAGCTTGGTTGAACTACATGGATGTTTTAGTAATGTAAGCATCACATCCAATCTAACCACAGCTCCAACACAATCAGCCGGGGGACGAAGCTGGGAAGGCTGCACCGGGGTGAGTGATGGTGGGAGTCAGAAGGACATACCCCTCATTCTCCATGGTGGGAAGACACCGGACAGTTGTCACTCTATTTCTAAAAAATATTTAAAAATAGCGATTAAATTAACCAAGCATGTTATCTGTAGACGTGAATATAAATTTTTTAAAAATCATGTAACAGCCCTGGCTGGTTTGGCTCAGCGGTTAGAGCATCAGCCCGTGGACCAATGAGTTGCAGGTTCGATTGGGCCACGGGCATGTACCTCGGTTGCGGTTCATCCCTGACCCTGATCCGTGTCGTGTGGGAGGCAGCCAGTCGATGTGTCTCTCTCACATTGGTGTTTCTCTCTCTCTCTCTTTCTCTCTCCCTCTCCCTCCCACTCTATCTGAAGATAGATGGAAAAGTATCCGTGGTGTGGATGAAAAAAATATCAGGTAACATAAAGGTATATTTGTTTTGCAATTCTGCATAATATAAATTACCACAAACAATGGCTTAAAACAACCCGTGGAAAAGTTAAACATAAAATTACCCATACAACTCTGCTATTCTTCTAGCTAACTATTCAAGAGAACTGAAAGCCAACCCTCAGACAAGTACATGTACCCCACCTTCATGGCAGCATGATTCATGGTGGCAGAAAGGGGAGCACAACCCACATGGGCATCAAGGGGTGAGTGGGTAAACAGATGGTGAGATATGCATACAATGGACTATTATTCAGCCATAAAAAGGAATGAAGCACTGGTACGTGCTACAACATGAATGAGTCATAATGCTAAGTGAAAGAAGCCAGACACGAAAGGTCACCTCCTATATGACTCCTTTTATGTGAAACATCCAGAATAGGGAGAACCCGGGGGACAGAAAGCTGACAGGTGGCTGCCCAGGGCTGTGGGGAGGAGCGATGGGGAGTGACTCCTTAATGGGTGTGAGGTTCTCATTTCGGGGATGAACATGTTTTAGAACTGTATAGAGGTAGTGGTTGTATAATACTGTGAATGTACTAAATGCCACTGAATTATTCACTTTGAAGAGGTTAATTTTATGTGAATTTCACCTCAATAAAAAAACCTATATAATCTAATTGTATGGTATCATCAATTGAGTGTTTGTAGCAGCTCACTAACCTGATGAAGAGAAGCTACCATGAGGTGGAATTACGATCTGCTTTTCGTTCTTACCCTCCTCCCGGTCTTTCCTTCCTCTTCCTTTCTTTTTCCTCTCTTATTATTGATTTTAGAGAGAGAGGAAGGGAGAGGGAGAGAGAGAGAGATAGAAACATCGATGAGAGAGAACATTGGTTGGCCACCTGCTGCATGCCCCGCACTGGGGATAAGGCCCACAACCTGGGCCTGTGCCCTGGCCAGGAATCGAACTGGTGACCTCTTGGTGCAGGATAGATGTTCAACCACTGAGCCACACCAGCTGGGCCCTCCTCTTCCTTTTCTTCCTCCCTTCCTCCTTCTCTTCTTCCTCTTCCTCCTCCTTTGGTTGTTCCATTTTTGTTTTTCCATTTAATTCCATTTCAAAGTATGGAATAGTATACTTCTCCTTAAAGAACGGAGGAAGGGGTGTGTTATTAGAGACTTTTGAAAATGTTCTGAGGCTCTTTAGCTTGATGACAAGTCTATATTCCCTAGCATGGGGAGGAATATTCAAAAATTATGACGTTGTGTATGTGAAATAAAACTCTGTTTCCGAAAAACAAAACAATACAAAAAGCCAAACCAGCAACAACAAAAAACCCCACCCACCCATTATTTCACAGTTTCTGTAGGTCTAGGCTTAGTTTAACTGGATTCTCTGCTGAGGCCTCACGTGACGAAGATGAAGCTGTCAGCCAGGCTGCTCTCTCATTGGATGCTTGGGTTTCTTGTCCAAGCCAAACCCTGGAGCTGCAGAACTGCTCCTTGTTTCTTGCTAGCTGTCAGCTGGGGACTACTCTTAGCTCCTGGAAGCCAGTCAGTTACTTGCCGAGAGGACCCCACAGGCTGGCAGTTTGCAATGTAGATGTTTGCTTCCTTCCAGGCTGGCCAGAGCAGGCCTGTCTGATTTCTTCTGCTGCAAACGGGTGAGAAACCTCTTTGCTTTTAAAGGGCTCACCTGGTTAGGTCAGGCCCACCCTGAATAATTTTTCTTTTGCCATATAATGTAAAACAATCGTGGGGGTGATAGCATACTCATAGTTTCTATCCACAACCAAAGGAGAGGGAATTTTTAAAAAAATCATTACCAGAGGATATATTTATTGATTTGAGAGAGAGAGAGAGAGAGAGAGAGGAACATTGACGTGAAAGAGACACATTGATTGGGTGCCTTCTGCATGACCCTGACCAGGGCCCAGGATTGAACCCAAAACCGAGGTCATGCCCTTGACCAGGAATCAAACCCTCATTCCTTTGGTCAGTGAGCCGATGCTCTAACTGTTGAGCCAAACTAGCCAGGGCTATGGTTTTTTTTAACAACCTGTGATACATCCACACCATTGGCTACTAGGCGGCAGTAAAGAGGCATGAACCAAGGAGATACACCGCAATACGACTTGGAGGTCAATGTTATTCTGATACCCAAACCAGATGAAGGCAGGACCAAAAAAATCATCAGGAAGGACTTTATTTTTTTCTATTTTCTGCAAGAGATAACACAAAATTCATGTAAATTCTTCTTTAATGTTTGGTAGAATTTTCCAGTGAAACCATCTGGGCTTGGAGATTTCTTGGTGTGGATTGTGGCAGAATCCCCATTGCCAGGGCCACCCAACACTTGGCATCTCTGGGTAGGGAGGGAAGTCTCAGGCCTGGAGGCGGGGAGGACAGTACCTTCTTGGCTGCTTATTTGCAGTAGAGAGTCTGGATTGGTCCCCCTTGTCAGTGCTGGAATCTGCCTGGCAGTATTGAAGTGACTCCCATTCGATCTGGGAAGAAATGAGCCTACCTGGGCCACCTTCTGTTGCTACGTTGGGGTTGGGTCTGGATCTCCTTCTGCTGGGTGGGGGTTGCAAGATACTCCGCTGTTGTGTTGTTCCTCTGGTCTGGGTCTCTAGCCAGCTTACCTTCCTCTTACCACCTTTCCTCTGGAAGGTTCTCTTTGGGTTGCCTCGTGTGTTACTTCTAGGGTTTAGAGTTGTACTGAGTGGGGCCGAACAGGGAGATCAAGTCTATGTCATCTTGTTTGGATCGTAGTCCTGGGGTGTTCTTTTGCATTCTGGAAGGGTGGGAAGGAAGAGGGAGCTGATCTATGC